GAGTCCAGCCTGACCAACATGATGAAACCCCGTCTCTACTAAAAATACAAAAATTAGCTGGGCGTGGTGGCGCATGCCTGTAGTCTCAGCTACCCGGGAAGCTGAGGCAAGAAAATCACTTGAACCCCGGAGGTGGAGGTTGCAGTGAGCCGAGATCCTGCCACTGCACTCCAGCCTGAGCGACAGAGCAAAATTCCGTATAAATAAATAAATAAATAAAATGTTTAAAAAGAAAATAATATTGGAAATTTGACCCTGAAGACCTACCAGAGGAAAACAAGCCAAGTGGCTTAAAAGACGAGAGACACCTTTTCTGGGATACTGATAGTTAAAAACGGAACTGCATTAAAAAAAATTTGTGATCTGTTTTGCTTGTAATAGCGGATATGTAATGTGGAATACTTACTATGTAGGAGCACTTAGATTTTTTGGAGGGGAAGCACTTAGATTATATCATCTAATTTACTTCACAACCTTATGAGACAGATGTTACTGCCAATTTACAGATTAGGTAACTGAGGCTTAGACAGTTAAAGAAACTTGCCTAAAGTCTCTCAGCTAATAAGTGCTGAAAATAGCAGCCAAAAACAGATCAGTCTGATTCCTAAGAATTTGCTTTCAACTGTTACACTATACTGCCGCTATGGCGCTCCTCCAGAAGCGTGCTTGCAGGGTTACTTTTTCTTCTGTGGTTTAATTCAGCTACGGTTATATTTCCAAAGAATCAGCATCAGCTGGGAGCGGTGGCTCACACCTGTAATCCCAGCACCTTGGGAGGCTAAGGCGGGCGGATCACAAGGTCAGGAGTTCCAGACCAGCCTAGCCAACATGGTGAAACCCTGTCTCTACTAAAGATACTAAAAATTAGCCGGGTGTGGTGGTGTGCACCTGTAATCCCAGCTATTTGGGAGGCTGAGGCAAGAGAATCGCTTGAACCCGGCCTGGGATACTCCAGCCTGGGCAACAGGGCAAGACTTTGTCCCCACCTCTGCCCCCCAGAAAAAGAATCAGCACCGGGCATGGTGGCTCACGCCTGTAATCCTAGCACTTTGGGAGGCTGAGGTGGGTGGATCACCTGAGGTCAGGAGTTCAAGACCAGCCTGGCCATCATGGTGAAACCCCATCTGTATTTTGTAAAAAAAAAAAAAATTAGCCGGGCATGGTGGTATGTGCCCGTAGTCCCAGCTACTCGGGAGGCTGAGGCCAGAGAACCGCTTGAACCCGGGAGGCAGAGGTTGCAAAGAGCCGAGATTGCACCACTGCACTCCAGCCTGGGCAACAGAGGGAGACTCCATTTCAAAAAAATAATAAATTTAAAATAAAATACAATAAGAATTTCTTGAAGACAACTGTGAATCCATCCTTTTCTTTTGAGTACCATTTCTCTTCCTTTTCATTCCTTTCTTACCTTGGTGTCTTGGGGTTGGAGTATAAATACTTGCAACCTCTTCTGAGTCGTTAATCTCTAGACGCTCATCGTATGTCTGGTTTTCAACAACCTTGGTCTAAGCAAAAGGAGACACGATTACATAGCTCCTATCATGGGACATTAAGCACTGTGCCAGGAGGTATATTCCAAACCAGCATTGGCTCCTCTTCCTTACCCAAGAAACCAGCTTTTCATAAAAACGTCACCCCATCCAAATTTTCCTTAAGGCTTCTTGGCCCCCAGTTAAGCAGTTAAGTCATTCTGTTGCAGTCTCTATTTAAGAATTGCTGGGCCTGGCGCGGTGGCTCAAGCCTGTAATCCCAGCGCTTTGGGAGGCCGAGGCGGGTGGATCACGAGGTCAAGAGATCGAGACCATCCTGGTCAACACGGTGAAACCCCGTCTCTACTAAAAATACAAAAAATTAGCTGGGCATGGAG